ATGAAGGGATGGGACCAGATGCCATGACCTTAGTTTTCCGAATGTTAAGCTTTAAGCCAACTTTTTCACTCTCCTCTTTCACTTTCATCAAGAGGCTTTTTAATTCCTCTTCACTTTGTGCCATAAGGGTGGTGTCATCTGCATATCTGAGGTTATTGATATTTCTCCCGGCAATCTTGATTCCAGCTTGTGCTTCTTCCAGCCCAGCGTTTCTCATGATGTACTCTGCATATAAGTTAATATGCAGGGTGACAATATAAATAACCAGTTTTCTCACTACAACACTTCACCGGGCAGGTGGAGATACGATTTTAGGGTGTGTTATCAGATCTAGACCTTAGTTTCCAATCTCGTGTCCTCTTTTTGCTCCTATGAAACCTTTGACTGGGTGTATTTACTGCTTGTGCCATTATAGAACAATCCACTCCAATATATTCTTGTCTGGGAAACTCCATGGGCAGAAGAGCCTGGTGGCGACATGACTGAGTGACTAAACAACATCATAGGTCCACGTAGAAGCAGACAATAAAATAGGATTAGAGGTGAAAGAAATTTATTCTGGGAAGGATTAGGAGAAGAAGGGGAGGACTTTCAGAACAGAAAAGTTGTGTGGAAGGAGCATGCAGGATTGAAGTTTGGGTAGCATGAATGTTATCATGTAGAATCTTTTCAAAAAAGATCTGAGGCTGATCAACCAAGTTGTGAATTTGCCTACTACCTGAGGGCTTTTGTCAAGAAGCTAAATTTGGAGAAATTGCCCCTTTCATCCAAGTCAATGAATTTTTCCTTACCTAGTCTTATATTCCAACCCTCTTGATTAAGCACTAATGCAAAGCCTGGGCCACTTTCCAGGTTCTTGCTGGTACAGGCAAGCTAATTCTCACAAGTACATTCAAATGCAGTCTCCATCCTCCCTTATCAAGCCCAACAACAACCAGCTGGGTTATCCTGGAATTTGGCTTTAGTTAGGTCCTGGAAGCCAGGAGAGGAGATGGAGGTTGGTCCTTTAAGGCAGGAGTCCCCAGCCTCTAGGATCTAATGCCTAATGATCTGAAGTGGAGCTGATGCAATAATAGAAATAAAGTACACAATAAATGTGATGTGCTTGAACCATCCCCAAAGCATCCCCCCTCCCCAGATCCATGGAAAAAATTTCTTCCATGAAATTGGACCCTGATGCCAAAAAGTTTGGGGACCACTGATTTAAGGGATATCGGTTGCCATGCAGAATAGAAACTTTTGTAGCATCTTCTAACCTGTGGGGGTGAAGCTATAGGCCACCTCTGAGTGGTCAGTGCAAGTTCTGAGGGGTCAGTGCAGAGCAAACCCCTTCAGGCGCAACTGTCTGTATGTCCCCACCTTATATTTTAAGATGTCAGGTTTTCCCAAACAGACCCCTGTGTTTTGTGTAATAGATCTTCCTCTTCTGAGCATCCTCAGGTCTCTGGAACTCTGTAACTTATTGGATCTTTGGTCTGCTACTTAGCTGATCTGTTCTTCATTCAAGGAGATAAGGGCTTTTTGTAGCTTACTAAGAATCTCGCTGGGCTTCCCAGTTGGCACAGTGGTAAAGAGTCCACTTTCCAATACAGGAGATGCAAGAGTTGTGGGTTCCATCTCTGGGTTGGGACAATCCTCTGGAGTAGGCAACCCACTTTGGTATTCTTGCCTGGAAAATTCCATGGACAAAGGAGCCTGGTGGGCTACAATCAATGGGGTCACAAAGAGTTGGACAAGACTGAGCAACTGAGCATGCACATGAGTCCCTTTAGCTCTTATGCTAACTATTTATAATGCTCCTTAGTGCCCCATTCTCTGTAGGATGTCAGTATCAGTACAACATAGCAGTAACCAGCCAACACCACCCTATTTTAAATGTCTGAACCATTATGCCTGAAAGGCAAATCGTCACCCAGAGTGGAATCTTTAGCAATTGGGCTTTGTGCCAGGGCATTTCTATGACCCATCTTTCACTCAAACTGGATGGTTAGTGAGACATAATTAAATACCCACCTTGCCACTGTTTTCTCTGTCCACTCTTAGTACCACATGCAATAGTTGGGGTTCACAGATGCCAAAAGAGGGTTAGACTATATACAGGAAATATATTGAAGGAAGAAATAGCAGAAGGTGAGGGCAAGCTTCAGATCATGGTATAGGTTTGACAGCTGTGTTACGAGAGAAGCAAGCAAGGGGAATAAAGTAGAATCACTGACTGCAACACAGTTCCCATAAGATTTGGTGAGGCCAATGAGCGTCCTTGAGCCAAAATCCCCATTGAAGTTCCATATGTATCCTCCTCAGGGTCTGTCATTGAGCAGGAGCAGCTAGCAGGAGGTATCAGAATAAAGGCAGAGGTGGACCTAAAGGGACAGTGGTCATGTTGGGGCATCAATCAAGTTGCCCATTGGAGGAGATGTAAGCAGTGCATTTGTGTGGATACCACAGTTGCTGTTTTCTGAAAAATGATGGCATAGAGACTGGGAACATAGACTTGGAAGTCAGATTGCCTGAGTTCAAATACTGCTGGACCGCCTACTAACAATGATAACTTGGGCAAGTTAAAATATGTGATCTTTCATTTTTTCACATGTAAATTGATAATAATATTATGCTCATAGAGCCATTGGAGGATTTAAAATGGCTCATTCATGTAAAAGTTATCATTATTATGATGATCATGTCCACAGTTCAGTCATGCAAAAAAAAAGAGTAATTCTCTTTTTCTATAACTGAACTCATTTTTCAAGTTGATCCCTAAACCTAGCCAGTGTTAGAAGCTAAATCTTAGGTAGCACGGTGTGTCTTCCTTAGATTGCATAAAAAGATTGTGAGCCCTATTTAGAATCAGATGGGGATCCAAACACCAAGTCTGCCAGTTCTAATGGAATGACTTTGGATCTATTATTTAACCTCTCTGTGACATAGTTGTGCAAGTGCATGTTCAGTCGCTCAGTTGTGTCAAACTTTCTGTGACCCCGTGGACTATAGCCCACCAGGCTCCTCTGTCCATGGCATTTCCCAGGCATGAGTACTGGAGTGGGTTGCCATTTCTTCCTCCAGGGGATCTTGCTAACTCAGGGATTGAACCCACAACTCCTGTGTCTCCTGCATTGGCAGGTTGATTCTTTACCACTGCATCACCAGGGAAGCCCTTAGTTGTATGGCTTATAAAATGGGGTTACTATAATGGTCAGACCCTCATAATCTGGTTATGACTCAAGATTTGGTCAGAATAATGCCTGACCTTATTCAGTGTTTGATCACGGCTGGCTCTTATTGTTCTCATTCTGAGGTTTGACATGGCCCTATCCCAGTTTTGGTATCTCAATCCTAAGAGTTTAATTATGCTTTCCGAAGTTAAGGAAGGGCACAGTACGGGGTCCTTTTGAGGAATCTAACAACATCTAAGCCCTAGCTTCCTCCTGGGTTCGCTCCCATTTTTCTCAGTCTGTGCAGTCTTCATGTAGTCTGCGTAGGGAGATATGGTTCTTTATTCCCTGTTTATGGCAGAAACGTTATACTTGGAATAGTTCAGGGCTGAGCTTCTTTCAGTGTAAAAGCCCTTGCCTTTTGAGGTTTAAAAGCTTTAGCTTTTGAAAACCAAAAGATTTTTCTTTGTGTAGTCTATCTTCCCCACAATGTGAGAGGAGGAATACAGTACAAAGAGTTAAAGGAAATACAAGAGGCAAATCTCAGTTAATATCTCAAAATATTATTCCTCTACAATGTTTATGTTTAGGTTCTTCTCTGTTCCTGAAAATCCTTTTTGCTATCAATTAGAATTTTATATATTCAAGCTGCAATTTGAGTGCCTCCTCTTCTTGGAAGCACTCATCACTCCAGTCCAAAGTGTTTTCTTTTTCTAATTTTATTAATGCAGTCGTTACCACATGCATTTGAAATGGTTTGGTACATACTCTGTTTTCCCCACTACACTACATGTGACTTGGGAATAAAATCTATACTTTTTTTTATACCTATATTCTCTCTAGTACCTAACATAGGGCTTGATAAGTAGAGGTAGTTAAAAATGGTGAACATAATGGGTTGGCCAAAAAGTTCATTTGGGTTTTTCCATAACATCATGCAGAAAAGCTTGAAGGAACTGTTTGGCCAACCGAGTAATTAAACAAATTGCTTGCTTAGTCGCTCAGTTGCACCCAACTCTTTGAGATCCTTTGGGATTTTTCAGGCAAGAATATGGGAGTGGGTTGCCATTTCGTCCTCCAGGGGATCTTCCCGGACCCAGAGATCCAACCCCAGTCTCCAGTGTCTCCTGCACTGCAAGATTCTTTGTCTGCTTAGCCATCAGGGAAACCCAATTAAAGAAATTACAAGAGATTTTATGCAAGGGCTTATATTTCTTTCTGAATCTCTACCTATATTTTCTTGGTGTTTTGAACAGGCCTGCGTGTTGCTATGGATCCTTGCTTGATATTCATGTATTTGTTGCAGGAAGGGGGACCCCTTCCAGGGCCTGAGAGTGGACTCTTGTTTAACATGCTGATATGAATCATTGGAAGAGAAATGCATACTAACAAAGCAGAAGACTTTATTGGGAAAGGGCAACTGGGCGGAGAGCAGAAGGGTGAGGGAAGCCAGGAGAACTGCTCCACCACAAGGCTCGCTGTGCTGGGCCATGCTAAGTTGCTTCAGTCGTATCCTACTCTTTGCAACCCTATAGACAATAGCCTGCCAGGCTCCTCTGACTATGGGATTTGCGGGGCAAGAATAGTGGAGTAGGTTGCCGTGCCCTCCTCCAGGGGATCTTCGCGATCCAGGGATCAAAGCCACATGTCCTATGACTCCTGCGTTGTAGGCCTATTCTTTACCTCTGAGCCACCGGGTTAGCTCATGTGGCGCGGGTCTATGGTAACAGGGTTAGTTTCCGGGTTGTCTCCGGCCAATCATCTTGCTTGGCCCGCCTTTGGGCTGCCTCGGGGTCCTTTCTGGCAGTGCGCGCATCTCTGTCGTCAGAACAGATTTCAGTGTGAGGGTTTCTGGGAGATCTACAGGAGGGACTGGCTGGTATGTCCTCCTTCTCTTTCTGGTCCCTTCAGAATTTTTCCAGGTTAGTTTTGTGAGACACTTCATGGGTTGGCCTCTCCTCCCTTGTTTTGGCTCCTCCAGAATTCTCTGGTTAGTTTTCCGGCAGCAGCATGGCGTTCTTTATCAGGCCCTCTTATTGTGAGACAACTCAGGCAAGTGGTTATTATCGTGACTGGCCGAGGTGGGCGGTTTTGGTCAACGGTTCCTTAACATACCTAGATACAATGACTAATCTTTATTCCAGTTAAAAAACATTAAGTACGCTAATGTGCCAGCCATTTTACCAAACTCGGAAGATGCAAAATTGAATAAGGCTTGCCATCCAAGTTAGAGGTTCTTAAAACAAGCAATTTAAATGTTACTTATCCCAAGTGGCTCAGCGGTAAAGAATCACCTGCCAATGCAGGAGACGCAGGTTTGATCCCTGGGTTGGAAAGATCCCCTGGAAGAAGAAATGGAAATCCACGCTAGTAATCTTGCCTGGAAAAATCCCATGAACAGAGAGAAACCTACCGGGCTACAGTCCATGGGGTCACAAGAGTCAGACATGACTCAGCAACTGAGCAGCATGCAAACCTAGTACAATATCTGACTCATGGTAGCCCTGAGAACTTTATTAGAGAGGGAATAAATTAACAAACTGATGGAATTAGTGATGTCTTTACTTCAGAGCACAGAGCAGATAACTTTTGTTTACTCCAAGGAAGTCTTGAAGGAGACTGTGACCAAGCTGAGTCTTAAAGGATGAACAACAGCAAAGAAAGCAAAAGTTGAGAGACAAACTTGACAGCATAAGCAAGAACATGGTGGTATAAAGAACAAAATTATGTCCTTTATGTTAAAAAAAAAAAGCAGTTTTGTTTATATTTTAGCAAAAATACATTTTCTGTGCAACATAAGATTATGGTTTAGAGTGTGGACTGTGGAGCCAGACAGCCTAGGTATAAATTTGGCTTTATCACTTATAACTTGCTCTTTACTCTTAGTGAAATATCTTACCCTGTCTTGCCTAGGTACCCCACTTGTAAGATTGGGAATCATATTTCTTAATGTTATCATGAACTTCAAATGAAGCAACATATTTAAAACCTTCAAAAGTGTCTAAAAAGTGCTTGATACATTTTAGTTTATGAAGATTAAATATCATTTTCTCTCTTTCTTCTTCTTTTTTTTTTTTTTTGCCAACATTTCATTAGAAGTAGTTCCTATTTACCATTATTGTGATCCTTGTTTTCTGCCCAGAGATTCTCAGTAGGGAGACAGTAGGAAGAATGGTCCACGCTCTTAGGAAACTCAGTAGAATAATTTGGGGGTGGGGTAATTTAAAATCACATATCTATTTGGTTTCCCTCCTTCCGCCCAATTTCAGAAGTACTGTCACCTTTTTAGTTAATCACTGTTATGGGAAGGGGAAGAGTGCACTGTGACTTTTATTCAGGGATGTTGGGACAGAAGAATGACTTTGAATTTAATTTTATAGGCATTCTAGATACAGAATCAAGACAGTTCTAGATTAAAACAGTTGACATATCTGACCTCAGGTCTCTTCATGTTTTACCGATTTGTGTTGGTTCCAGGACTAGGAAAATACCAAGAACGTACACTTGTTCTGGATATACCAAAGCCTCAGTGATTTCTAGTAAGTACACCACAACCAACCTATTTCATTGTTTTCTTCTGATGAAAATATATTTTTGAACATTTTTCTACAATGAGTCAAGATAAAATAGAAATGAATAGAAAACTTTTCAATGTTTTGACTCAAAAATCATAAATTTTAAGTTATGGCAAAGAAGTTTCACATGATAAATATTACTTTGTGCAAGGATGGATTTTGGCTTACCTGTAGTTTTCATTTGCTGGAGGAAGTAGTTGGAAAGTATGATATGGGAATTTGGAGTGTGTTGCAATGATTTCTTGGCTCCAAGGTATTTAAAACCTATTCATTTTTCAGTTAGATTCATCAGTCAAATTTACAAAGACTTTCATTTAGCTAAAAGTGATTAATCATTAAGATTTTTTCCATGTGTTTTATTTCTGACTTATACCACAATTTTAATCAAAACAAATCTTACCTATTTGGTCAGAAAACCCCACTATGTGTTAAACACAGGTTGTTGCTTTACTTGTAAAGTGAAATAACTCTTGAAACTAAGATTTAGATGATACAAATACAGGATGCTATGCTCTATTTTGTTTTTTAAAACCATGTAACTCAATAGAAACTGTAATTTAAAACCCAGGACATCTTCTAATGTTGTAGTTTAGTGACTAACACAGTTAATTCATAAAATAATATTCTGCATTCATCCATCACTATAATTATAGTTGACCCTTGAACAATGTGAGTTTTAACTTTGTGGGTCCATTTATACTTGAGTTTTTTTTTTTTTTTCCGATAAATATACAGTAGTACACAGTCTGTGGTTGGTTAAATCTGTTCCTGCTGGACTGTGGATCTTGAGGCCTGACTATGGAACTTGAGCATCCTTGGGTTTTGGTAGCTGCAGCAAGTCCTGGAACCAAGTCCCCAAGGATACCAAGGGATGTTATAATGCAGTATGATGATGCAACAACTCAATACAGGTGTGGCATTTTGATGTACTGCAAATTGCTACTTTCAAACTACTTTTTAGATCTAGTCCCTTATACCAGATACATCATAAATAATTACATGTAATAATAATGATATAAATTTGTGCAATATTTTGCAGTCTTCAAAGTATAATAGTTTTTAAAGTTTTCTTTCAACTGCATGCGAATCAAGTAAAAAAGGAGCCTCCATTAGAAGGAATAGTAGTTTAGGATTAGAGCACATAATAAATGTGAGACATGTGTTAGCGTGCATTGACTATGTAAAATTTAAAATGTCTTAACTCTTCTAATCCCATGGACAGAGGAGCCTTGCGGGCCAAAGTCCATAGGGTCTCTAAAAGTTGGACCTGACTGAAGAGACTTAGCATGCATGTACAACTCTTCTAATCTTCATAAGAAACCTCTGATGAGGGACTAACATTATCCTCATTTTACGTAAAAAGGAGCTAAGATGGAAACCAAGTTAACATAACTACTTCCTAGTAGAAGAACAATTGACACAAACATATGTCTGATGTGGAGTCCGCATTCTTAACAATAATGTCACATGGCCTGCTATAATGTTTCCTTGCTATCCCTGATGAAGTCACTCATTTCTTTCAGAAACAATACCTGGTTAGGCTATTTTGACACCCCATGATTCCAGCCTTAATCAACTATATGATTCATTTGAAAGTAGTTCCTTATACACAGAGTGTGAAGTTATCAGCTTAGCAAAGAATTAATTTTACATGTACAGTTAGTGAAAGCTACCTCTCATTGTTGGGAAAGCATTTGTTTCTATCCAGACGGGCCTGGGTCCCAATCATCTCATCTTTTGGTCTTATTTCCTCATCTTCCGTAAGAACCTACATTGTCCTTGCAGATCCTGCTGGCTGAGCATCCTGTCATTTCTTGGACAATCTTTCCAAGCTGGCAGACATGCTATTCCAAGGCTCTCACAGTTGTTATGAGTTTCATGGGAGATTTACAGATTCCTTCCACAGATATCTCATTTTCCTGCTGATACTACTGCTTGCTTTCCTTGCTGTAAATCCTTATTATCTCACTTTATTTCTCCATTTTCTCCTTTCTTTCTAGCCATACTGCTGCTGCTTCCCTCCACTCACTTCTCTTTATCCCTGTGCTGTTGGCATTCTCATTTAGACATCCGTCTTGTTATGTCTACTTGCTTATTTGTAGTGGTATATGCAGGCCTTCCTTTTTTTTTTTTTTCCATCTATCCTCCATAAGCATCACCATTTTGTCAGAAAGGACCACCTTCTGGGTAACACCATCAGGAATACATTTCTCCCCCAGGAAATATGACAAAAACCTTTCTCTCCAATGCTTTCCGTTCTTTCCCTTTAAAGCATTTCTCTGCTGAAGCAGCTAAGTGGCTGCACAACATAATCCTGTATAAAGCTGGCAGAAATGCTATTGCAGGGAATTTGTGTAACTCTTTACTGTCCATTTTGTATAAGAGTCAAAGCTATGTGAATAATCCTTCAATGAATTTTCACTCAAAATACACTTTTTAAGCAATTAGGATCCATCAGCCCTGTCAGACCCTTCATTGTGGATTTCCCTTTGTTGTTCCAATGTGTTCTGTCCTTAAACACCACCCTTCGTAGCTAACTATATAGGCTGCATCAATGGGCTTCATTTCCCTCTGGCTTGTGGTTTGGGCTCAGAATATGGGAGATGCTAGCTAGCCAGGGACAGGGGCTTCCCAGGTGGCTCAGTGGGTAAAGAATGTGCCTGGAGATGAAAGAGACACAGGAGAAGCAGGTTTGATCCCTGGGTTGAGAAGATCTCCTGGAGAGGGCATGGCAACCCACCCCAGTGTTGTTGCCTGGACAATGCCATGGACAGAGGAGCCTGGTGGGCTACAGTCCATGGGATTGCAAAGAGTCAGAAACGACTGAAGCACATGATCACACACACATGCAGCAGAGATGGAGGGCGCCGAAGAAGGAATATTCATCATCTTAGTTCTTTCTCTCTATGGAGTCTGCTTCAGGGTGATGGCATCGCTGTTGAAAAGGCCACCATTTCGGGGTCACAGGAAGCCCTCTCCATATAACGACCCTCTCCAGGTTCTGTAATTGCTCCCTTCCCTTATCCTTCCATATGGGCTTTCCTCTCTGTTAGCTTCCAAGTTCTGACTTATCCATCATTGATTCCCCAGTTCCTGCTGTACCCCTTGAAGTGAGTCTCCTTATTGAACAGCCCTCAAATTACAAACTCTGAGCATGGCATCTGTCTTCTAAACTGACTGGCACAGACTTGGAATATCAAGACGCTGTTGCCTTTAAGAAACTTGCAACTGTAGAAAAAGGAGTCAATCATGTAAGCACATAAGTGACTTATGAATTATAGAACACGTGATAGAAACAGATAGAAGGTACAGTGAATTCACACTGGAAAAAGTGATTTATTCCATGCAGGAAGAGCCTATCAGAGAGGGCTTCTTTGAGTAATGTTCAAGTGATTCATGGAGTGATGAACTTGTTATCGATGGTTTCATGAATGGATTGGGCTGAGACTGGGGCAGAAAGGCCACTGTCAGATGAGGGAACAGAACTGGTAAAGCAAGAAAGCCTGGGACATTATTCTGTGTGCAGACAACTTCATACTCATGATAGCCAGAGGTTACCGTGGGAGAAGGGGCATATAAGTTCAGACAAATCTGAAGATCTCAGAGGCTTTAATATATCATAGTGAGGAATTTGGACTTTACTGTGTATGTCATGGGGGAGCCACAGAAGTTTGTATGCTAAAAAGTAGAAAAATAGGGCTTTCCTGGTGGCTTGGTAGTAAAGAATTCATCTGCCAATGCAGGGAACATGCGTTGGACCCCTGGTCCAGGAAGAGCCACACGCCGCAGAGCAACTAAGCCCATGAGCCACAATTACTGGGCCTACTGAGCTTGTGCTCTAGAGCCTGAGAGCTGCAACTGCTGAGCCTGTGTGCTGCGGCTGCTAAAGCCGGGCACCCCGGAGCCTGTGCTCTGCGACAAGAGAAGCCACCACAAGGAGAAGCCCGCACACGGCAGGGAAGAGTCCCCCCTGCTCACTGCAACTAGAGAAAAGCCCATGCAGCAAAGAAGACTAAGCACAGCCAAAACTAGTGTTTTTTTTTTTTTAAGTAGAAAAGTAAGTTTTGTCTTCAGAGCATTTTGGTGACAGTGAAGCTCATTTGAAGGAGACATGGGGAAGAGCAAAAAAGCTGAGAAGAGGCAAGAGACTGATTAAAGCAATAATAATATAAAGAGAGATTGAAAAGGCAAAACAAAACTTGTCCATCTATTAGAAATGGAGGTGAAGGAGAAAGAGCCAACTCTTAAGATGATACCCAGGTGTCTGGCTTGGTGGTTGGTAGTATCATTTCATGAGACTTGCAGTGTACAAAAAGGATGCACTTTGGGGATAAAATAATGGTTCACTTTGGGGTTGAGTTTTTTGTGGGATACTCACATGAAGCAACTGAAGTGCAAAAGGGAACTTTGTAGCAATGATACAGATATGAGCACCACCATAAAACAGATGTAGATGCCACTGTAGAAATGGTTGAAATAACCAGAAATAACCAGGAAGGGTGTTTCTCTTAGTAAGAGAAGGGCAAGGAGAGTACCAGCCAAATTTATGTGATGATTAAAAAAAGAAACAGGGTATTCAGAACATGCTAAGCATTACGATAGTCAATTTCTTCTGTACCTTATTTGACCTGAACCATATAGCTAGGTTGTAGTCATTTTATTTTCCTAATTTCACAAATGAAGAAACTCCAGCTTAGAGAGTTAAGCTAAAGTCACAAAACAGTGGTAAAAATGAAGCTGGAATTTAAAACTTTTAACTCTTTCCCAGTACATCATATTGGCTTCTTACTGCTTTATTTTAGCAATGCTGGAGAAGGATATGGCAAGCCACTCCAATACTGTTGCCTGGAGAATTCCATGGACAGATGTACCTGGCAGGCCATGGTTCATGGGGTCGCAGAGTTGGACACAACCGAAGCAACTTAGCACTCATGAACAAAACAGGGCTTCCCAGGCGGCACAAGTGGTAAGAATCTGCTTGCCAAAGCAGGAGATGTAAGAGAGGTGGGTTTGATCCCTGGGTTGGGAAGATCCCCTGGAGTAGGAAATGGCAACCCACTCCAGTATTCTTGCCTGGGAAATCCCACTGACAGAGGAGCTTGGCAGAGGAGCAATGGGCTACAGAGCCCATTGGGTCGCAAAAGAGTTGAACACAACTGAGTGACTTAACACTGCACTGATGAACAAAAAGCATGGAATAAAGAATAGGAAAAAAATATAGACAAAGGACTCTTGGGATTCATCAAAAATAGCTCTAGTGATAAAAATGTTTGCCTATCCTCTATAATGTGCCATTGGATAAAACATTTCAATTTGAAAATGCAACCTTGTTTATTTTACATGTTTGGAAAGTACACTGCAAATTTCACTCATTTAACTTTTTATGCTCTTGTTTTCTTAACCTAAAGGTATTTTAGCCCTTCTCTGCTCACCCTGACTGTCCTTGTAGCATTTGCTCACTGGCTCACAGTAAGGCACAGTGTAGCTTCATTAAAAGAGCCAGGGCTCTAAACGCTGGCATAGCCTTCTTTCAGAACTGCCCCAGTTTTCACTTACAATTCAGCATTACAAGGGGTATAGATCTTGAAACTAATTTGGAAGCAGAAAAAGGCATCTGTACCAGGTTTGTGCTTCACACTTACTTCCATATTAATTTCCTGAATCATAATCTAAGGCCATGAATCGGAAGTGCCTTGCGAAGGTAAATGCAAAGATAAGAGTGCTTAGATTAACGCTAATGCTCTGCATTATGCAACATGACCCATAAACCAGAATATTCTTATTATTCCATGATGTAATCATTTAGAGCTGACTTTCACAGGATGGAGTCATGATTTACTAAAGGAAAAGAGTTCATCAGAAAAGTCTTTATACATATCCTAGTGCCAATTTCTGGGTATTTTGCTGAAGCCTTACAAGTCAGCTTTAAAGAAACAGATTGAATCAAAGGAGACTCATCATGTGGGCCTGCTTCCCTCTTCAGTTAAAAAGAAATGAATCTGACAGAATGCCTCCATCATCAAATTAGATGCAGATTTATTTGGTAGGGAGAGGATAAGGAACCACTTTTACAAATTGTGAATTGCTTCTGTTCCTCAGTGAAATAGGAAACAAAGTCAACTTGAGAGTCAGTGAGTGAGGAGGTGTTGGTGATAAGAAGAAAAAGGAGGGGAGATACAGATAATTTTTCGAGCACAGGAATGTCAGTTGATTGGAGAAAAGCAGTAGGCTTATCAAGCTGGGCGGGGGGTGGGAAGGTGGGAGGCAGGCAGAGCTCACTTGAAGTTTGTGGTCATCAACTAAAAGTAAAACCTGTCAGTTTTCCTCCATCTATGTTCACCAGAGGAATGTAATCTCATGTAAACAGAGTTAGATTTAGCAAGAAAGAACTCTGAAGAGACAGCAGGACAAGGCAGTTATGTTTATGTATTGTAGTGATTATACTGATATAACACAGAACCTAAGATAGTTAAGGAGAGAGAATATGAGGGGATCATGGGTAGTAAAAATAAGGACAATCAATCAATAAAATTGGTGAATGGTGGAAAAAGGCTATCCTAGAGGTTGACATGGATTAAAAAATAATTATCTTAGATTTTAAAAATTACTGAGTGAGAAATTATAGAAAAAAAAGTAAAAGAATAATAAACAATCTAGATGTTATAAGTTTGAGAATATTGCAGCAAAAATGTATGAGGATAGACATAAGGGACATTTTTTTCCTTTAGCTAGACATCTGGTTACCTAGCTTAAAGTACATATTTGAACAGTATTCTCTTGATTATCTGCTAAACAAAGAGAGTTTGTTTCATGCATATAAATGTATGAACATCTCACAGTTAGATTCTAATTGATTTGTACATAGTAAACCTATCACATAAGGTGGGACCAAGGTATGCTAAGTGTCTGTTTAAAATGCCCTGAATTTCAAAGGGCTGTAGCTCAGGAATTATGTTAGCCATATGATCTCATATATCATAATTTCTTGACAAGATTATCCTATATTTTATTTTATATTTTCTCCTAGGAAAGGAGAATTCTGAAAATGACAATGGTGTGAGCTTTCTGGAAAGGTATTTACTTTCCAGTAAGTCAAAATTTTAAGAAAGCAAAGGCTCTCATTAATTTGGCGAAATGATTTTAAGACAGTATGTACCAATTAAACTCTTAAGTTAGTGTCTCTGCTTAATACAGCTTCATCTCAGTATTGGGTTTTATTATTGTATTATTCACTGTTTTGATAAAATAAGATCTCATGGATATTTTAATGGGCCTTTGTCTGGTTACTAGTATGATTAAAATCTTTCTCTCATTTTAGTCTCATATTTAGTTTGTTGGGTATCAATTTACGTCTTTTGTCTATTTTTCTACTTTCAGTTTATTTCTAAACAGCTAGTAAAACATTTTTAAATAATATTAATCCTCTAAGTTTGGGGACAAATACTTTGTTTTTCATTTAATTATTCAGAGTTTTAGACACATGCATTTTATACATAGTTATTCAAATTTCTTAAAAATTGTGCACAATAAGCATTTTTATTCCCATTTTGCATATAAGAAAATAGTGATCCAGACAAGGTTGAATAATCTGCCCTCAGTCCCACAAAGTGAATTTTTGATGAAGGTTTATCTGGCCCTAGAACTCATTCATTTTTCCTGGTTACTCTGTATCTGGACACACACAGTCTGATGGTCAGAGCATTTTAATAGGAAACATCTAAGAGAAGGATAAAGCAAAAAGTATAGTGAAGAAGGGCCATATTTGGGAAGTATAATTACAGCAAGAGTTGAAGAAAATAGATCTATAGAACAAAGGACAGTGATGAGTTGACAATTACTCCAGGATTTCCTGTGTGGCTGGCTGCTGATACCGTGGCATTACCCAGTGTGACAAAGGAACCAGGCACAGAGCTCTGTCACTGCAAGATGATAAGCTGAATTGTCTTCTCCACATTTCATTTCTGTTAGTGACAGTACATACAGTTTGAAATGCCTTGTACAGAAAACTCTCACCAAGTGGGGTGGAAAGGCCAAGTTCACAGTTAGACAAGTAGATGTGGACAGGTTTTCTGTACACAGATGGAACCAAATGACATGCCCAATGTGGGGTGTGTGGCAGGAGGAGCAAAGTGTCTATTAATTTTCCAGAGGAAATGCCACTGAAACAATTTAAGAAGGTAGAGGAAGATCGGGCAAGCTGGAAGAAGAATTTCTGCTACAACACAGTATACAGGTTTCTGAAAATTCTTGTGCTCCACATTTACAGAAGAGTAGCAGGGCATATAAGAGGATAGGTTTGGGGTTATTCACTTGAAACTTTTATGGTTTCATGAAACTTTGAAACTCTTTGAAAGTTTGTAATTAGTATACTAACAAAACCTCAAAGCAATCCTAATAAAAATACTAACAGTTTAAAAGAGGTGTTAAGTTCCTTATACATGGAGAATTACTAGAGTAAACACAGGAAACCTACACTTAAAAAAAAAAATAGGTGGAGCAGGCTTATAAAGGAGTTTTATCAGAAGGCTGAGGTCGCAGTGTTGTGGAGACAAGGGGGAAATGAAACCAGGAAGACTGTGCAATAAGTACTATTTCCAAGGTAGAGCACGTGACCAAAGTGCGCTCAGAGCCAGAGCCTGGGGTGAGTGGGCACCATGGCCAATGTGCTTCCCTTGTGTCCTCCTGCTGGGTTCAGCTGTGAGAAAGCTTGGAGGTGATCTTCACACCAGCTGGGAAAAACCTGTTCATGGATCACTGCAACTTCCATGTTATACTGATGTCAGTCTCTTATCTACAAATCATGATTGAGGCAATTTGCCCCCAGAAGTAGAGAAAATTGGATTTCAGACTTTAAGGTCATGGAAGGTCTAATTCATAGTCCTAAATATCACTCCCACCCCAGGTACTCTTTTACTTACTATATCATTTTCCTTCTTGCATTTTATCACAATTTGTATCTTTCTCCCACTTGATGCTAAGCTCTATGAGGGCAGGGACTTTATTTTATTTATTACTATGTCCACTTTGTATAGCATAATGCCTGGTGTATATGGTATCAATAAATATTTGTGAATTGAATGAATACAAGCAGCATAATCATTTATTGATTCAAAGATAAACACTTACTATAAGCCAGTCTATGTATAAGCTGCTAAACCTGTAGCAGTGGACAAGGCTGGGATTTTGAGAAGATAGCAAGCTAGATCTAGTGACATAGATAAATATGCAATTGTAATACAATGTGTGTGATACGTGCTTAAATAAGGTAGGCACTAGGTGTTCTGACATCTCTATGCTAGAAGACTACAGATTTGGCTTTGGGGAAGGGAGAACGGTTTTCAGGAGAAGTGAGGTTTCATCTGAAATCTGACAGGTCATCAGCAGTGAGAGAAAAGGGAAGGCAGAGAATTTTAGATATTTAACAGCATGTGCCAAACCTAGAACTGAGTGAACACTTGAAATATTCCAGGAAAAGTAGGTAGCTGGGGTCAGACTATAGGATCATGTAGAAACTAAGGGAATGCTAACTGCTATTAGAAGTAAACTACAAGTTCTAATCCTGGGGGGTGGGTAGGGACCGTCCTCCATGTCATACACAATTCAGGAACGTGTACCTCCTTTGTCTTCTGGGACGATCCTTTCCTAAAGTCTCACAGTCTTCTTTATTTAACAGGCAGATGCAAAAAACACACCATGGTAAACATATATCCATGTTTTAACCAGTCTAACTCAGAAGAGATACATTTTTCCTTTTTTAAATTTATTTATTTTTAATTGAAGGATAATTGCTTTACAGTATTGCGTTGTTTTTTGCCAAACATCAACACGAATCAGCCA